GATCGTCTTTCCGACCAAAGCTCCACATGACACGCCATCTAAAGCCAGTAGCTCGTACTTCTCTTCTCGCTTTACCGTTCCCTCCTGAATCTCACAAAACTTCCAGTGTTGTCCATTGGCGTCGCTACTACCGCCTAAAATCTGAAACAGCGCACAATCTCTTATTTACTTGAATATATTTTATTTCAGCTGCAGCAGCAGTAAATCGAGACAGAGATAGGGCGAAATCTGAAACCTGTTGATTTGGGAATTTAAAAAACAAGTAACCACATGTTGATCGCGCTATTTGATACATTTCACCCCCCACCAACTCTATCAATTATGCCGTTTTTATCGAATTTCGACGGTGTGTTTATTTCGCCGAGCTTTGGGAAGCTGCGATTTTCACTAAGTGGAGTTGAACTTTATTACGTCGTGCACGTCACTCTTGCAGGGGTGACACACCTACGGATCTTATTTCATTTAGCGACTCAAAATTGCTTATTACATACCCGCATCGAGCTTTTGCTAATTCTGAAAGCTTGTGACGAGCGGATCATTGCAATTTTACAATTTTTTTTGGTCACTGATTGAGCTTTTTGATTAATGGTACCAATTTAGCTTTTGCACGTCTGTCTTATGTAATAAGCCTGCACATCTTGATTAAAATAATAAATAGATTTACAGCGACGCTAAATCTTGGAGAAGGGGCACCGATTAATTCCCCTCTCAGGGCCTCGCTCCCTCTGCCGCCATCCAAGATTCGTGCGAAGTATTTTTCAGAGATCCGGCGAGAGTCCTTTTTTCCTTTTTCTCTTTTTCGTCTTCTCCCTGGAGTTTCGGCACGACCGTGTTTTTGTGTTCGTCGGCAGTAGGAGCCTTGCTATCCGAGCGAACTTCATTTTTCCGTATTTCATAGTTTTCCACCGCTCCTTTTTTTTGCTTACTCTTTGAACGTTCCGCTATCTCGCTTCGTGCCGTGCCGCTTTCCAAATGGGTCGCCTTAGAAAAACTCCTGCATTCGACGCGGCTTTTTTATACTCGCTCATCCCAGCAGGAATATTTCCAAACTCAATAGAGAGGAAATAATATTCGGCAAATAGCAAATGGCATTCAGGGGAAGCTAGGCGTATAACAACAACTTTTTGGGCACTCACAATCATTGATTCGGCGTATTTTCCTTGCTTTTGTGAAATTAGTTGCGGCAATAATTTTTAATCAATGTAGTTTTTTTTAAGTAAAAACAGATTTTGTCACTCTACAAATTGATGTTTATTTAAAGCAATTCATAAATAAAGTTGTTACTTTTCTTTTAATAATATTTTAGAGTTTAGTTTTATTGTGAAACAACTGTACCTAAAGTCAAGTGGTAAAGTTTGAAGAAGAGAGCGTATCGATCGCTTTTTTTTAGAGAACAGAAATGTATACCTTGTTTGAATGGGTGTCAAGTTTCCCTTAAAACAAAAAAAATTCTAATTATACTTAATGTCATGTCAGTGGTCTCGAATGTTGCTCCCCTAAGTGTGTTACTATTGTTACAAATTTACATACATATAACGTTGCTATGTTATGAGTTATGACCGATGTAACGCCGCCATTTTCTCTATGTTACGTTCGACGGTAACGCCGCTATAAACAGATATAACGCTTAACGGCGTCCATAAATCGCCGACGATTGTTTTCATGTGAGCATTCCTTGTAAAAAGACGCTCGAATAATTATCGACAAGTGTTCCATTTGACGACATTTTTACGGTCGAGTTTTTACGATTGCGAAGCGTGTCGTTCTCTTCCTTTTGAAATTACATCCCTGTGGCAGCGTCCCTTCACCACAGGTAATGAAGTGCAATTACTGCTCGGCTTCGGGCACACATATTGGCAGACGGCGCACGGATCTTCCTGCAGATGTGTGTGTATATCAATGCAGGGCCGAAGGGGTCCACTAGGCATTACGGGGGGCCCGGTGCAAACTGCAGACCCGGGTGTCGACCGGCCACCGAACCCGCAGACACAAATAAGTGCTTGACGACTAAGCCGGTTGGTTCTGAGGCTTCAACGTGTACCCACGACACCTATCACTAAGCCATTATGGGATCCGGTAGAGGTTCCGTCAAAAAATACGTAATGATGTAATTAGCACTTAATAACTTAATAAGATACAAGCGAGTGGTTGATGCGGAACAGAAGAAGCAGATGCTCATGTAGGAAGAAATGAATAATTTGACAAGAGGACCTTATTTAATGAATCCCGATTTTATTTTTATTTTGATTTTTGTATCATTTTTGACGAAATACAGACAAATCTGCATTGTGGTGAACAAAATTACCTAATCTATTTATTAGTAGGTGATTAATAGTCTTGACCATTATCTCAATTATTACGTTTGCTATTTTATTAATCGTTTTCTTTATCAAACTTTTATTGTAGAATATTATAGCTTATTTTTGAATAACTTAATTATGTTACTAGATCGGTAAATGGTAAAAAATATTAGAACATATTATATTATGTGAGACTCTTTTGGTGTTGCTGCAATCACGAAACCCTTTGCTGTCGACTAAAGCAAAATAGAAAAGCTGTTTTAGAAGTAGGACAAAGCCTTCTTCAACATACAAATACGTCTTTCTTCAGCGTCGATTTTTCTGAGTAGAAGTGGATGCAAACGATGCGTCTGTTTTTCATGTCTAGCGCTCTTTTCGGCCATTACGTTAAACAAACGTTGGAAGTTTTTCATAGAATTTCCACCTGCCGGCGGGTTACACCGCGCGTTCGGTTAAAACCATAGTAACAAGAGCACAGCATAGCACGGGGTGCGGCGTCGTATGAGAGGGTGGTTCGGATATTTTTCCTTTGTGTAGGAGAAAGGTCGAATCTTCCCCCAGCCCTAGAGCTGTGTGCGAGTTGCACCGTCGAGTTAGTTCCACCCTCTCGGGCTCCGACGGTCGGGGACTACTCACACCACCGCTCCGGTTTTATACCCCTGGTTACCCTCAGCTGAATACCCCGGCTGCCGGAGTTGTGCCGAATCATCCTCAACCCTGCAGACCTCCGGAATATCCGCCGCCTACTCGACCCTCCAACCCCACAGCCACTCCTGCCCCTAATACGGAACGCTAGCGCTATAAAGCGGCAAAAGGATTGTCGCAAGGGTTATAAAGAAAGAACATAGAGATAACTCGTTTATTTAGAATATAAAAAATATACACAATTATCTTGCACCATTTTATTTTTATTTCAAAGAATTTATTGTTTGATTAGTCAAATAAATGACTTGATTTTTTTTAAAGAGAAACCACTTCATTATTTTTTAAACATCAATAATACTACTCGTATTATAACAATTTTAACTTAAGAAATATACTTATAAGTAAATTGTAATTGACCAAATAAAGTTTTGAACATATTAGGAACAATATACTCTTTATTGATGTTGGTATAGATAAATGAAGTTACTTTTTTATATTTTATATTTTAAAAAATACATTCATTGTTCTTCGTGTTTTTTATGCTTGAATTAATACCTAATATTTAATTTAGTCAGTGTTCTATTTTCGAGCACTGTCAAATTACAGAAAAAGGACAAAAGCTGAAAATGACATTAATTGGAACACTTCTTTTTTTTTTAAATGTTTTCGTTCAAGTCACACAGTTTGAGGTGTTAAATATAGTTAACTTAAAACGAAAATTATTTGTGAAAACGTTGTAGGTATAAATATTTCTCGCTTAATTAATATTTTTTTAAAGTTTTAAAATCTACTTATAATTTGTAAGGAAAAGCAGACAATGAAAATAACTAAATAATGAAAATAACAACTATAGTTAGCAACAATTAGGAAATGTAAAATTTGTATAAGTGGATTAGCAGTACATATACCTAATTTCCTCAAATTATTGAGATTTTGATCATTCTTATTCTAACTTAGAGACTTAGAGTCTGATCTTAAAAGGTTATAAATGTTTAAAAAAATTATATGAATGTATCAGTACTGGCGGTTGTAATAATTAGAAATTTTGGAGTTTTATAGTATATGTAGTTTAAAAATCTCGGTTTACTAAATTTTCGCTTCCTGAGGGTCGCTCCAATTTAAACTACAACCTCGATTTTTAAACTGTCTATAAAACTCTTGTTGTCTTAATAGCTACTATACAGGGTGATGAAAAAAAGACGCCCACGATTGAAACAGGCGCGTCCTTTTTTATTGAAACATTGTGACCATCATTTCAAAAATAGTCTAAATAGATTCTTTTTAAAATTAAAATTTAAACAGTTTGTCTAACAGCACAAAGCGGCAATATTGTACAAATTTCTTTTACTAAAAAACTATTTCATTCAGGTATTTTTCGTATCTGGGAAACCTTTTTGACTTTAATCATTCAAATTTCACAGAACAAACAACATTGAAAATTGATTTTTTTGTTGCTACCGTTTCCAATAATTGAATATTACTTGGACATTTTCTGTATCCTAGGATATCCTAGGTATCCAAACATCTTCAATAAGGTTTATTTCAATAGACATTTTACACATTTTTTTTAAGAACACCGTCAACAGTATCAAAATCTAGACTTTAACAATGAAATTATTTTAAAACTGTTAATTATATAGATTTCTCTTTTCTAAAAAGGAAAGTCTATATCTTACTGATAAGAGCACAAATCCAATTTTGGTCTTCGAATTCGTCTTTAATAAAAGATCACTTATAACATGTGGGTTAACACGGGCGCCTTTTTTTCATCATACTGTAGTTGCAATTTGTAAAAATAATTTCATTCTTTTTTTGGTTTAGTAATGAGTGTGAATAATGAGTGTAGTTAATTCAACAGCGAAAATTTCATTCAAAACCAAATTTGCATTGAGAGAAGAGTTTTATTTTGGACATCGAGTTTAAAAAGAAAAATAATAACAATAATGTTTTTAAGTATTGACTAGTGTGTGCATTTGAACTTAAATTTTTTGCGCTATCGCTCGTATAGAGATCGTTAGTCTAGCTAAACTTTTAATATCTTTTTGTTTGTTTTAGAACTCTACCGGAGAGCCAATCTACCGCAAAGTCGCCGTCGTGGAGAACTTCTTCGACATCATCTACAATGTTCACGTGGAACTAGAAGGCCGTCCCGGCAAACATGCCGGTCAAAAGCGAACCTACCGTACGGTAAGTCACCAGAATCCAATATCGGAACCTCTCTATCAGCATCGATCCGTTTCGAAGCGTTATTATCGTTCGTTTACGTCTCATCTTTCGTAACGGCGCGTTGCATCTGTCAGACTACAAACGAGTCGTTGCTTGATATTCGGCGGATGTAACACACCTGTTGATTGTCAATATATTTCAACGTTTGTAGTCTGGCGATATGGAAATACGGTTATTTGGTCGGAAACATCAACTCTTCGTTTCGTAGAGGGTTGTTTGCGCACTGTTTTACACTCGATCTTCCATCCCTCTTCTATTTATTTAGTCTTCTCGACTATTCTTCTTCTTCTACGAAGCGGTAATTGATTCGGTTGTAAGAGCGCGGATTCATGGCTGGTCAAGTTCGACGAGGAATCTGAGTTCTGACATCGCTGATGGAAGAATTGTGTTGTAGAGGAAGACAAATAACTTCGCGAGTATTAACAGGAAATTTGATTTTTACAAGAAAGGTTGTACACGATGAATATAAATGAATTTTTTCACAAGTGGAACAAGTTTTGGGCTTGTTACAATGGAATTTAACGAGAAATTCAAAAAAGACGCAAATATCTTACTTTCAGTCGAGTTTTGTTTAAGTAAAAATTAATTCATTGAGAGAGACTTAAGCTAAATCAAGAATCTGGACTTAATTATAGAAATATTATTTTTTACTCTTAATTTCAGTAAGTTCTGGCTTGTAAACTTGATTTGTTTAACATCATTTTAAAACAGAGCGTTCATATTGTCTTATTTTTACGTTTAGTATTTATTAGTTTCGTATTAGTGTTTGCGTTTATGAAACTTTTGCCGAAATTTAAACAAAAGTCGTTGACACATATTCCAATTTTAAAAACTGTTTTGTGTGAAATTCTTGCACTATGTCTTTGAAATTCTATCGCTGTCATTATGCAACTCGTCCCCGGCACTATCTCATCTTTCGGCGGTCATTGTCGCGGCTTTCCTGCTTCCGTACAAAAACCGTCATTGAAACGCCATTCGCACGTTAACAATTGTTGTTCCAGATAACGGAGACATATGCGTTCCTGCCGCGCGAAGCCGTCACCCGCTTCCTCCTCGGTTGCACCGAGTGTCAGAAACATCCTCGGTCCCCATCGCCGGCTTCCGTTCTGCCCACTCCGAGTCCCAGCCCCACGTTGCCCCTAGTCCACACTCCCGCGCCTCCCCTGCCGACGCCGCCCCCGGCACCGCCTGCCGAAGTGTCTCCTTACCGGGTGCCCCCGGCCGCCGAAACTCTTGATCTCTCTCGCAGTAACGGGGAAGTTCAAAAGGCTGAACCGAGGACTGGAACGCCGGAGCTGAAGCGCTCGAGCAATCCCTTGGACGTGTGCAACCTCACGGCGAAGGACCCGCCGAAGACGCCACCAAAAAAACGACATCTGAACGGAAACGAATCCAAGCAGCCGGCGCCCAAGCTTTGGTCGCCGGTGGAGAGCATCGAGAGGGAACAACAGGAGTCCAGGAAGCGGAGGGTGCTTATGGCAGGCGACATCGATTATTCTTTGCCCATCACCACCACATATCTCAAGTATATGCGCAGTTTGGGATGCACGGACGAGGATGCTCTTAAGTTCGAAAACAAACACGTGAGTCTTGTTATTGAACACTTCTTGCATGAGGCCATCTCGCACTATTTTTACTAATATATTTTTTTATTTGATTAAGGTTTTTAGGTTTAGAATAGAGCTTTAAGACTATTTTCTGTTATTTATTAACCACTTATATTTTGTTTTACTTTATTTATTTATTTTTACTAACTTTTCGTGTGTATTTCTTTACTAACATCTACGTTATCCAATAAATTTAAGTAGTTTTTTAAGACAGTATTATGTTGTTTTGTTTTTTCCACTTTTTGATGAACAAACATTTTACATAAACATTTACCTTTTTTATCCACTTAATTTTAAATATTTAACATGATCATGTCACGATCAGTTGCGTTATACTGTAAACGCGTTTATTGTGATTCAAGAATTTTCAGTCTACAGGGTGACGTCGAAATAAGTGCACATATTTAAATGAAAGAACAGTGTTATCTTGTGTGTTCTGATTACCTGTTTTTACTCGGCTGTAATAGTGGGACAAAACCTCTTTCAGGGATCTCTTTTGCGACGCACAACGCACGTACAAAGAGTTATCAGTACTCACAAAAAACAAAAACAAATTTGAACTTGAAATTGGAGTAACTCCTGCCTTATTTTACATTACTTTATACAGGGTGCGCCAGAACTCGAGCCCCAGAGAAAAATGCCAGTAAGTGAACAATACGCAATTCAGGAAATTCGGCACTTTTTTATACCAACAATTCGCAATTAAGTTACACGTCGGGGTAAATCTTGTGGTAACTAAGTCATTTTTTCCACACAAAACAGAGTACTAAGTACAGACACAACCTAGCAAAGAAAACTCTAACACACTGACCTTATTAGTACATGAATCATCTTTTTTTCAAAAATTTTTTGTCGAGATTCTGCTTGTACATATTTCGTTTCCACGACTTTATTGCAGTAGAATTTTGACTAAACTTTAAATAAAACTGAAATAGAAAGTCCTTTTATATCAAGGAGTTATTTCTTTTATTTTGTGCACTTATTTCTTGTTTACCCGGTATTTTGTGTTCCCCTGCAGGGGTTACTGCAGGTAAGTGGTATCTATAGGGATGATATCTCTTTATTAAAAATATTGACGGCTTTGAGTAATCAGCTCTTTTCTTCTATATACACCCCATTGTTCCTGTTGGTTCTGCATCTATAGGGTTGTCGATCAATAGTACATAACAACGCATCAAGGCCCAAATTGCATTCACGTGAAACACGCAGGGTCTTGTAATTATACACGTTTCATTCTCCAGAACTGATATTTACTCGTATTGGCAAAATCACAAATTAGTCTAAAAACTTAGAAATTGGCAATTGGATTATAATAAATGTTTGGATGGTTTATAAAAGGTTTTTTGGATATTTTTTTGTATTATAAAGCTATATTTTGAAGTATCAATAGCATTAATATAATATAATTTTAATAATATAGAGGGTGTTCCGTTTTTATTGTTACAAAGTTAAACAGGCGATAGAATATTCAATTTTAAGACAAAAGTTTCCTATGAACATGTACGTTGTTATGTATGTTACGTAAGCGTGCTACACCCCCCTGAAAGAGATGCCTTTTTAATGGGGTTTTCCGACTATTGCAGAATAGATAATTTCAAAAGTTGGTACAGCTGATTACTTTTAAACACCTGAATAGATTTAAAGATCAGTAGTCGAAATTTTTAATTACGGGTGTCTTAAACAGTGAAATAAATTTAATTTTTAATTTTTATCCTCTTTATGGTCTGTAAGACAAATTGTAAACTGATTTTACTCAACAACAAACAACAAATTTTGTGAATAACTATGGAATTTAGAATTTTGTGGCTGAAAGTGGCAAAACCAATAGCCAATAGTTAGAGTACTTTTACCCTAAACCCCGCAGTTTAGGATGCCCCTAAGTAAAAATTTTGACATTTTACCTTTGGATTCGTTTGGGTGTATAAAGGTTATCAGTTGTACCAAATTTTGTAAGTTGGTAATTTGCTGAAATATTGGAAAAAATCCATTAATAAATGTACCTCTTTCAGGGGATGTAGCTTTCTTATTTAATTTTTTTGACACATGTTTATAGGAAACTTTTATTGTAAAATTGAATATTCTATCACCTGTTTAAATTTGTAACAATAAAAACGGAACACGCTGTATATCTCTGGACTTTTTTCTTAACGATGAACAATTTACTCCCTGAGAAATCACGCCAAAATTGTTGAGTAAGTTGACGGCAAAACCTACCTAACCCCAAAAATCTCAAAAGCAGCAGTAAGTAGGTATGTACCTTTTATTTTGCTTTGTCCTATGACTTAAAGGTATGCGGCGTAAGCACCACGATAATCATAATGTTTATTCTGAATATTTTTTGCCATGATTAATTAAACCAAACACAGTAAAAATTTCATATTTGAATAATTTGATTTGCGTTAGGCCGATTGACACTGACAGCTCGATAGAAAAACGGTTAGGTCGCCAACATTATAAGACTAAATTTCCCTCTTTTTAGTATAATTTTTATAGCACTGTTTTTGTTCAGTTTCGTACTGGGCTTTAGTACAAACGCAAAGTAGAAAAACATATTTGAAAACTTTTGAGTTTGTTAATGTAAATGGATTAATCAATATAAACTATATATTATATCGATTTTGATACAGGTTGAGTCATAAGCCACTGCATTTTATGGTATTCTCCATTTATTAAGATTATCTCAGTTTTTTTATCGTTTGAGTATATGTATTTTGAGTTCAAGGAAAAAGCGGAATTAATGACTGCCAAATTTAATGGATGACATACCAATAACTACTTTGATTTAAATTTAATAATCTAAATGTTCAAACATAACAAAAACCAAGTTGTCTGTGAGAATGTATTTTGGGTTGCGTCTGAAAATCGATTAGGGTTTTTTTATAAATGACTGATCCTGTATTATTTTCATCAAAATAAAAATTAATATTGTTAATATAATTTATTTAAATTAAACAAATAACCTAAAAGGGCTATGGTTTTTTATTGAATGTATAAAACTACTAACTAAAAATATTCGATTTAAATATGCACATAAACTAGGAAAATTTTTTGCAATCAAAGGGTTGAAAATTTGATAAATGAAACATTGTCATATCTTATTTCGAAATAGGTTTTGTGCACTTTTTTATTAAATTAATATATTTTTTTAATTGCTAGCTGAAAACTTCTGTAAAAACGTAAACAAATAACTACAATACGTCTTCCTATAATGATTACAATCATTACTATAAGAGCTGCATATGTGATTTATATTGCTCTGCGATGAGTGTAATAAAATGGATTTGCGAATAGGGATCAAGACCTATCACCAGCGGAAGCAGAGTTTCGCGTAAGCTTTAAATCATAAAATTACACGTAGATAATTAGTCTAAAACCTTGAATCTTAGATGCATTTGAGAGGGTGTTACGAATGGCATGCAACAATCCCGGACAGTCGACGTACGGAGTAATCCGGGAATAATTAGCCCAATGTATATGTATATGCCAATTATAATTCATCGCGTTGCCGCCATAATATCCCGAGCATCCGGCTGATTGAATAATCACTTAAATATCCGTAAATCGGAGGGTCATGCCGCAGTAATGCCCGACGAGGGACCTTATATACAAGGGCCCTGAACAAACAACTCATTTCAAACAGCGCCGTAATTCCGGATCCTTTCCCGACCTCAGGTTCGCACATCCCTTATCTGTACAAACAAGGGCGCAATTCGTGCATAGTTGCGATTTTTTCGGTCGTCCGGAATAATTACGCAATGAGAAGTTTGTTTTCGTGTTCGGGCGTTTTTTTCCAGCAATATCGACTGGGGATGGAAGTAGAGGATGAGGGTTGACGTCAGGAAAGGACGCCGAGGATATAAAGGATACTCATCTGGCAGAGGAGTTGAGCCTGGTCAACCGAGGGGGATGAGAAAGGTTCAACCTCGAAAGGATGAATCATGAGAGTCGGGGGCGGCAAGGATAAGGCCCTTTACAGCGCTGGGTTCGACGATGAATGTCCCTTCTTTGTTAAAAGAACACAATTCTGACCGTTTTACTCGAATAAAACTTTCTTACGACGAGCAGACGATGACGTTGGGAAACCGCAAAAAATAACGTCAATTAGATATCGAACGGGGAAACGACGAAAAACTGCGTCATGACAAATGGCACATCTTCATTAGACTTTAATATTTAGAAGCTCAAAAACTTTTTTTCAATAAAAAATACAAAGAATTGCCAAACCTATTTACTGATATTCTTTTAAATGTTTTCTTAGGGTAGGTTAGAATTGCCACGTTTGTCTATTAGAAATCGATATTTTCTTCAATTATTTTAGTATGGTTCTTTTTATTATTCTTTTTACTAAAACTAAATTTGTTCTCTCATGCATTGACGTGACAATAATAAAATCAGCACATTTGAGGAGCTGAATTTATTTCGGGTAAAACATTTGACTAAAATACCCAACAAAGTTATTCTAAGTACTGTTTACTGAACTGAGATAACTGAGTTAAAAGAAGAGGTCGTTTTATTAGCCTTTTAAACACGTAATGAGCATTGAATGTTGTCAACATGTTTAGTAGCTATTTAGTTGTAGCACGAGTTTTTGCTAGTTAATCAAATTTGCTTAAACTTTGTTTATGAAACACTACGGAAAACAAGAGCAATTATATTGTAAATTATAAACAGAGGTCAAGTATTTGCTTTCTAATGATATTTATTAGAAAAGATTTAGTGTAGATACAAGTTAAAAAAAGGATTTTTAAAGATAGATTTTTAATGATAGGTATGTTATGTACTGACTTCTAAATCACTTTGATATTTAAATATCTGTTTTGGACTTTGGGAATGATTTCTTCCAACTCAGTATAAGCGCCTGAGCCGTCGTTACCATCCGGCGCTATTGTTGCGTAATAAAATAAGACAGGTTTGGGGCAGATGTCCGCCACATTAACATCAATCATATAAGCGATCAGGCGATACACTCTAACTCA